TAAACCCCCCCCCCCCCCCCCCCCCCCCCCCCCATTATAAAAATTATGTCCTGGGAGGGGCAGGGCATAGGCTCACACGTGTGTGTGTGTGGGAGCTGGAATGGAAACTAGCCGGTGTTTTCAGTGGGTCCAGTCATCCTCAGACACCTCATTCTAAGCCTAAAGCTGCCTTCCCGTCCAGCACTGGTGACATTTGGAATTAGAGGTTGGATTGAATTTCCACGGTGCGTCCAGCAGGGGGTGAGAGGTGTTTGTTTTAACGAGGAGGTGAGTTTAAGCTTGTGCTCTTTTTTTTTTTTTTTTCCCTTGCCCTCTAAACGCCATGGGCTTCCTGCATGCGTGTCAACCTGGGGAGAGTTTTCCTATTGGCTTTGAGGGCAGCGCTGTGCCCCTCTGAGGAGAGGAGAGGATTATGGGGCTGGGGGGGCAGCAGAGTGTTGAGTAAAACTGAAGTGCTTTCTGTTTTCCTTTGTCCCTGGGTCCAGTCCAGGGTGAACATGAGTTTAGCAGAAGCATTAATGTGCTATTGCCAATGTGCCCAGGGGTCCGAGGTCCTGCCAGGCCCGCGGGGTGGTGGGGGGGTGTTATTAGCATGAGTAGCTGCCTTTGGTTTAATCCTTAATGTGTCAGACATTCTGATATTCACAATGCATAATGAAAAATATCTTTTGTTTAAAATAGTCCATGATGTATCCATATAGCTTCAGGATTATTTCAGAGTTGGAGCAATGAATGCCCCGAACTCTGTTGTGCCCCCCCCCCCCCCCCCCCCCAAAAAAAATACATTTAAATCCAGCTCCTTTGCCTTTCCCTGGGGTGTTTCCATGGAAACAGAGTCACACTGTCATAACTCCCCACTGGACGTTCTATTGAACGGATTTCCTGTGACAGCAGCTGCTTGAGTCACATGACCATGAGGTCATAGGCAGACAGAACCATCCAGCTTGGCAGTGGCATTAGGTGACAGCAGCAGTGACACACTCGCCATGAGCACGCAGCAAAGTTCCCTTGCCATTCAAGTGATATCCTTTAGTTTTTGAAATTCCCCAAACTGTGCAGTCATTTCTCTCATGGGCGTGTCCAAAGTGTGCCCTCCCCACCACTGACACACCCATACGCTCAGAAGACACTTAAGGTTATACTGCTATACTGCTGGGTATAGCCAACCAACAGCTTTCACATTACAGGCCCATGTTTTAACCACTGCGCCCCCTGCTGGCCAAACTCTCTTTGAACCGTGGAATATAAGGACTGACAGCCACCTGAGATCTGCAGCCTCCATCAGCTGCTGTCACATATTGCACACCCGCATTTGTGTGTGCGTGTGCGTGCACCAGCAGGTAGCGTTGTGACATCGGCGCAGCCAGTGGCCAAAGGTGTGCGGCTGGAGGTAAACAGTTGACATTCAGCTTCAAAGCGCTGGCTCAGGAGGGGGCCGAAGGGGTGTGTGTCCTGTCAGGACAGTGCCCACCATCCTCCTCTTTCCTCCTAAAGCCCCCCCACAGTTGGCTAGAAGAATGTCCCTGTGAGCAGCTTGGTTCAGTCTCCAGATGACAGGAGAACTGTGGCTTTGAAGGTAACGATGGGCGAGATCATCGCGCTGCCAATCACAGCCTCGGCTTCCTGCATCCCGGGGCAGGGCTTGGGTTCGCATTACACACGCACAGGGCTGCTCACTCCTGTTTTATTCAGACTGATTTCATCCTGGCTGGGTCCCAGTCTTTAAGACCACGCATCAGGCAAGTAACTTCATTACGGTTCAATGTTTTTCAATTATTAATAACTTGTTGGCTCCAGCCGAGTCTTTGTATAAGGAACTCAGGCCCACGGATGTTACACCTTCCCCGCTTAGGGCTCTGTGTTTTTTGTTTTTACTGGAGTAAACAAACCCTGCCTCAATTCCTCCACCCCCTGACCTTTATATGGCCATCCAGGTCCCCACCCTCTACTGCTGCCCAAGCACTGCCTCTCCACGACCCCCCCTTACTCTCCAGGGATGTCAGGAAGCATCCAGCTGTAAGCACTGATAATCTGACCCTTACATCTCACTCTCCTTACAGTAACCTATAGATACTCTGATTAACCATCCCGTCACAACAGCCCGATGGTGGCATTGAATCATCTGATTATAACTGACAGAAGACATAGAAATTTTGTGTGTATAAGTTAAAGACTGAAGTGCGCTCTCTCTACTGCTTGCACGAAAGTCTCTACATAAGATCAGACATTTTCCTTTTTGTTTGCTCATTACAATGTTACTCGTATTAACGCTATTCACCAAAATGTCACCCGTGGAACAGCACGTAACCTTTGTGGTTTAGAAGGTCTTTATACGTCTGAAGGCATAATTTACCAGTGAGCAGCAATAATTATACTGAGGTATTTTTCACGTTAAAAGAGCTCGAGCTTCACCATTGCACAATAACAGCCCCCTCCTACATGGCTTTACCTTCGTGCTGTTTGCACGCCGCAGCTTCTGCCCACATGCGCAGTGTGTACGTGTGTGTGTTGGGGTGGTGGTGGTGGATGCCGTTTATATCAATGCGCTCAGTTTTCTATGTACTTCTGGAAACAATGCTGCATGTTTGTGCGATGAATGGAAATCGCAACAAAATATGTAAGGCAACTTATGAATGAATGGGATAAGAAAAAGTATCAGTAACATTTTCTACATAGTATCTAGATTTAATAAATAAAAATAATGATCTTGTTTCCGCATAAAATGCATCAGTGTGGACACGGTTTATAAAAATGTTAACATTACTTAAAAAACATCCTGTAGAAAATATCAGGGTCTTTCTGCAAGGAAGACTTTTCTCTTGCTGATACAGACATCCAGGGAACATCTGGAAAAATATCTGTGGTTAGTTAGATAGACTGTCGGACACATGTTTTACAGTTTTGCGGCAGGCCAAAGCGGTCCCCAGATCTCTCCAAATCTGTCCAACATGCGAATGCTAAGCTGCTTCGTTGACACACGGGACATTCCAAACTCCATAGCATGCCTTGTGATTACAATAGACCCCCGCCACTATGCTGTGCTGAGAGTAACAACGGACCATTGAACCACCGACCTTCCGTAGAATGATGATTTTTCAACTGAAGAAAATATTGCTCTGTGTCTGAATAGCCAGTGCCTTTAACACACCGGACATCGCCTGTCCCAGAGCGGATGGAGAGGGAGGCAGGGAGACTGGCGCAGTAAGAGTGGGACAGTTCCTGTCACGTGGATCCACCAATGCGATGGTTAATGGACGTCATGGGTACACAAACGTAACAGGATTAAGAAGCGTGCTCTTTCTGTCTGCTGAAGATCTCGTCCAGGATTTCTGATTTAGATTCAAACAAGTGCACTTCATTTGCAATTAGAAAAGCCATTCTGCAAATGGTGAGAATCGTTTAACACCATGCAGGGGGCGGGGGGTTCTTTCTCCTGCTGGCAGATAAAGTTTGATGAGATGAATAGAGTGATATTCTGTGGCCCAAAGCCAGACCCCTGGCTTCCGCTCGTCTCTCTCGCATGGCTTTATTTATTTCTCTTCTCAGAAGTATTTATTGATACCTAATATGTGCTCTAGAGTCTCAAAGGCTGCACAATATATTTTTGGTTTCAGTTAAACTGCAACGGCCGACTTAAGCTTTGCTTTTACTTTTGCTAAGGTCTTCTGTCAGGACATGGGAACTGGGGGAGACATGTAGACCCCCCAAAAGTTAATTTGGCTTAATTCATTCCCCAAATAAAAAGACCTTTGTATATAAATTATTAAGGTGTGTCCCCCTCCCAATATCAAACTCACTCTTATGCTATATACTTCAATCCCCTTTAAAGCTGCATGACACCAAAGGTGGAGGTTAATTCCGAACATTATTTTTCATTGTCTTATTCCACAACTGGAGCCCAGAATGAATTAGCCTGTGTTTACTGCAATATGGAGGGTGTTTTGTTACAATATTCAATAAATAAATATGTAATTTAAATAATTAAATTATCGTTTAAATTGTCATTTAAATGATTGTTTAAATCACCATTTAATCATACCAACAACCATTTAAATCAGGGTTATTCAACTCACGGTCCTCGAAGTCCGAGCACTGCCGGTTTTGCAGCCTTCCTTTACCTGTCAGTCAGGTGAGAAGCCTCTGACCAATCAGAATCAGTAATTATTAAACAACAACCTGGGAGAACTGAAAACACGGCCTGGATTTGGAATCGAGGTCCAGAGTTGAAGAACCCTGATTTAAATCATCTGTCAAAGTCACCCACCAAACTCAGTGGGCGGGCTCTAAGCAACATGTAACATCTGATTGGTTACATTGCAAAGTATGTCACACCAGATCGATCTCGCCTAGTCGATTGGATCCTCATTTATAACCGCGTTTAATCTGATCCGTCCTAGGGCTGTTTATACTGTACATCCTAACTTCCCAGAATCATAAAGAAGCTCCTAACTTTAGGATAACAGTTCAGTTATTGTCCCTATCCTAACCTAAGACTGGAAATGTGTATTACACAAGCTTCCAAACTTCCCAAAATCTTAAATAAACTCTTCAAACTTTAGGATAACTACACATTTTTATCAACCGGATTTTAAATGATACTTTATAATTTAAATGATCATTTAAAAGACCTATTTATAAAAAATAATTTAAATGATCATTTCAATTATTATGATTTTAATAAACATTTATATTTATTTATCGAAGATTGCCACAAAACCCTCCACACCATAGCAATGTTTAATATTGACTGCACTAAAGGCTTACATCGAGTCCGAACTGACGTCGCAGCCCTACTTCACAGTTGTAGTGAAGCATGAGAAACAGCAGCTTCGGGAGCCCACTTAGTTTCAGGCGTTGTATGATCACCGCAAAGTTTTAGAAATTAGACGCAGCCCGTGGTTAAGAGCAGCACGCGACTTAGATTGGGACTTTTTGAATATTTAACGATTTAAAGGAGGAGAAGTCGTGCGTCAGTAATTGCAGCATTTCCGTGGGAAATGCCGCTTCCTCTGCGGACGGATCTGGTGCGCAGAAGGAGCTTCGAGGTTTGTGAAGCGACACAAACGCAAAGCCTAGTATAAAATCTTTGGGGGAGATCAGTACACGATTATGCTAAACTCTCACCACCCAAAGGCAGAAAGATGCCCCGTTTTGCACCACCATTTTATATCGCAGTGTTTAGGTTGGGAAGCTTTCAGACGCGCGCATGGCTGGTGACTGGAAAAATGCTGCGCGTCTCCTTTAAGCGCCAATGTGCACTAAACAGATGACAGTGACAGACCCCCCCCCCCCCCCCAAAAAAAAAAAAAAAAAAAATCATGAGCGTGTGTGTGTGTGTAAGTGAATGTTCCTCCAAAGCCCACGGATCAGTGTACGCAGGACGGAAGCATGGGAAAGATGTAGTGGCTCGACATCCAAGAATTTCCAACCCCACATACGTCAAGGTGTAAAATCGGTATGAAAATAAGCAGTCGAACTTCCCATATTTAAGGAAAACTCCATGCAATGAGGGACAGTTTATAAGGTAAGTACGGCCCTTGGTTTCTCCCGTAAGGTACTGCGTTCGTCCCAGTCAAAATTCGTTGTATTTCATTTATCAGTAAATGTTAACGACATACAGGAGTTTTCAGACGCGTCCATAGAGTTTTTGTGGGGGTGTGGGGTCTTGTTACTCACCAACGCGCTCTGGTGCCGAATCGTGCTCATTGGAGAGTGATATGCTGGCCATGCATGAGTGTTTGTGTGCTACTTCAAAGAAGTGACACGGGTTCACTTGTTTAGTGGTGGGGAGACGCTGGTGGGGTACAGCGCCTTATACACCACCCAACTCCACCTTGACCTGAAATACCCTTAATCGCGATAAACAAGAGAGATTTCGTTTTTATCTGGCAAAACCCGATACGTGCGGTAACAGTATACGAGTTTCAGCGCTTCACTTCGCAAACGGAACAGTCGCCCATACATTAAAACGATGCCTCATTCAATACCTTACAAATTTAGATTTTTTCTCCCGAGGTGATTCTTCGTGTTTGTTGCTTTTCTGCTTAAGGTAAAAAGAGCTTCTATTCCGCAATATGCAATTTGGAAACTAAAACCGGATGTTTTTTCCAAGGGCTAATACAAACCTCGAACCTACTTCTCGTGTTGCTCCTTTTAAAGTTACACCGCTAGAAGTAACATAACAAATAATGGTCCCAGTCCGAATGCATTCCGTACAGATCTGTTTAAAACGTGCACATGAGGTTAAACGTGGGTGGAAGTCACAAGTTATCCCAGCGGAGATTTGCTAGTGGGACGCCCGAGGGAAGCGGGATGCTGTGCGTCTCCGGAGACCCAAAGCAGCAGAAGCTGTACGGCATCCTCAGAGGTGCACGGCGTCCTGCTGTAGAACATCCCTTACCTCTCTGCCGGACACGAGAAGTGGCTGGATACTCCTGAGCCATGTCTATATATCCTCTGCTTCAGCTGCCATATGCACAAGGCAGTTGGTTGGATGAGAGACTGCGATGCGTTGGAATGGATCGGACCGGGTCGTCTGGCCAGATCAGCCGGGTGCCAGTTTCGGCGCTCTTTCATCTCGCCGCGGTCCCCAGTGAAACCGGCTGTTTTCCGCACTTGTCTGTCTATGTGTGTATTATCTTCATATTATTAAACTTATGGGGAGTCCAACAGCGGACACTTGCTCCTTTTATTTTACATTCACCCATCGGTCCATATTGAAGTATAAGTGATCCTAATACTATCAGGTTCTGATACTGTCTGGGTGGACATATTCTTTTCATGTACTTTGTTTCTCTTGAATACATACATTGGAGAGTTTTATTGCAGTCATTATTAGTCCCAAAAAGTGCCCCTCAATATATAATATAATGTGCTAATGTACTTGTGGGTCTGTCTTTCTGCTCACGGGGAAGCGGAGCGTCTCTGTGTGGGCGTGCGTGGGCATGCGTTAGCCCGTCTGCCCAAGCGAGTCAAATGACCTCAGCCATTTTGGTTTCCTGCGACCACATACAGCCTGTACACCTCAGAAAAGTGTCTCTGCTTTGGAGGGGGGGGAGTGCACAGTTGGGCTGCCCTCTATCCACCCATCTTTTGTTTTGTGCTTCACTAATGTTCGACCCACTCAGCCCCCATATAATTTCAGACTTGCCCTCCAGTTCACCGCCAGCGTGCTTCAGTGAGTTGTGCTGTTACACGAACTGCTTAAAAAGTGAAGCTGCCTCGTTAACATAGACACGAGCCCCGAAAGTGAGTGACTCCCCCACCTGGCGCCCCCCTGTGGCCATTTCCATGGCCTGGGGCTCCCTCTGTTGTACAAAGTGTCATTTCACTGGGAACAGCACAGGCAGCCAGCACCAGGCAGCTAATGAAAATGTTTTCCTCTTCCTGCCTGTGGTCTCAAAGGGAGGGATTGAGTGCGGCTGAGGGCCCAGTGCGTCCGGGGGCCGTGGCAAGGACCCCCCTCAGCTCATTGTCCCCCCGCACTTCTCCGCCTGGCCGGAGTTGGTTTACACAGGCTTGATTGTTTTAGCAGCTGGCCTAAAAGAGCAATTATTTGACCCCCCAACTCCGGCAAGGACACGGGAGCCTCAGCTGTGACAACCGGCCGCCCGACTCTTCCCAGTCGGAACGGTAGCTTTCCGGGAATAATGAGCCCAGGAAGCCTCCTTTACCGTGAGCCATGTGCTGGGTCCAGTAGGGCATCCCTCGCCTAGCGTGTGAATGCAGTGAGAATCCCCCATTCGGCTGCCATTGCAAGCTCCCGGTCCAGTTTGACCCCCCGCCACCGTGCGACAGCCCTCTTCACAGGGATGTGTTTGCCTTTTAGGCTGACCTGTTAGGAGCTGAAGTCAGGATTAAACCTCAGGGCACAGCAGCAACACTGAAACACTTCATAAGAGTATTTTTTTGTTTAATAGTGATCTGGATAGACTTTTCATTAAAGGGCACATCACTTTCCCCCAAAACAGGCGTGTTGGTTTCGTTCTGAGCAGAACATGGCCAGCGCAGTGCTGTGGAAACCCAGACCCTGATGCCGCAATCTCTGCACGCCGGTTCTCCTGGCCCATCTGTGTGCTGAGAGAGGGGGTGACGGTCGTACTAATGCTTTCAGATTCTGACAACTGCGGGTCTCACAGCAAACCAAGTACAGAAGATTCCAGACTGTGGTGAGTCCGGGCCAGTGCTGCGTAGGGTTGGGGTGAAGGCCAGCCAGAAATCTTGGGGAGACGGATAGTTTAATTTAGAAGGAAATCCCCAGGTGTGATAGACAGCACCGGCAACGTCTGTTTGACTCGGATGGAGCCTGTGGAAGTCGGCGAGGGCTGGGAATGGAAGCAGCACGCCCCCAGAGTTCTCTCTGGAATTCCGGGACCTTGTCGATTCATTTCCAGTAATGGAGATTTGTGAAGACTCGCTTCCTCTTTTTTTTTGTGGATTCTGAGCCTTGTTGAGAAACGTTTGCCTGTTTTTTTGCTGAACCCACAGAATGTAGAAGACTTAATTTCTTTATTTAAATAGTAGCTTGGTCATGTGGGGATTCCTGTGTTCTGCAAACCGCCATCAACGCATGCTAACATGTAACTACTAGGGCCATTTCTTGACCGGAGCAGGGTTTGGAGGGACAGCCTTGCGTTACCCATCTTTGGTTTGTCTGTCTGCCGTTCATTCGCACTGCCCCGTTTTCCACACACTAATCGATGGTCGCTCTCGGTAACTCGCCATCGCTTGCCGGGCCCCGTGGCCATAGGACGTCTGCAGGAAGCTGGCGGCTGAATTAGGAGTATTTTGCTGGGGAGGGAGACAGCCAGCGAGGCGTGGAGAGTGACCGCGGACGCAGCAGACGGCTTCCCCAACGTGGACAGGTTCTCCGTACACGCAGCAATGCAGGGTAACCACCCCCACCCCACCATTTCACCTCCCCCCAGGGGTCCCCTGAGCAACCTTTGACGCTGTGCCCAAGATCCCAGCCACACATAGAGAGCTGGAAACGGAGCTATGCACAGATTTTGTCTCCTATCTGTTATGGACCCTCCATACGTTTAATTATGATATCAATGGATGTATTAGCTAATATTCCCCTCCTCACCCAGTTATATCTTGTTAAAGGAGGTTTAAAGCAGAACTAGAAATCCCAGGATGTCGTTCTATCGTAAGCCAGATGGGTGCACCCTCGTTTTCCAAATCGTCGTGATCTGGGGGGGTGACGATCCATCCTTGGTCAAACATGGGGAACGGCTGACTTGTTTGTGCTGGTCAGCCTGAGCAAAACGGGCACCTTCAAGAGATTTTAAAATTCTAATTAGAGTGTACATGTCCCCTGAGACCTGGCATCCTGCCCAGGGTGTCCTCTGCCTCGTACCCTGTGCTTCCTGAGATACGCTCCATAGTTATCAGTGGTTATAAGAGATAGATGGATGGATGGATGGATGGAAGACTATAGACCGTGATCTTTAATTGTTTATCCGAGGTCAGTTTCACAACATCCATGTGACTGCCTGCCTGCGTGCACTATGGTTTCTCCTGTTTTCTCATGAATCTTTTAGTGTTTTCGCTTCGGCCCACCAGGGTGGCCATATGCCACAGGCCGAGCTGGCGGCCTCGCGGCTCCGGGCAGAGCAGGTCGCTCCAGGTTTACGGGGAGTCTGCGTGGCAGTGGAAAATTCTCGGAAGCCTGGCGCGTAGGACGGACACGTCAAATCAGCGTCTTTCTGTAGTCATGAGTTACTAGGGGCAGCGCAGGGATCACAGGTGTCTCCCTCCCTGCCGACCCGCGCCCTGGTTGGCTGACCGGTACTGGATGAGCGGCAGCACCCGTGCTGGACTGACACCTGTGATTGGCTGAGTGTTGTGCTCCTGAGCCTCTCCGGCCTGGTCGGCCCCGTCTATTTGGCCCCGGCCCCCAGCCAGCTGGCCCTGCTTGCTGACTCTCCCGGGGTCTGTAGCGGCATCCAGCCCTTGTAGGCCAGACCGTAACCGACACGATCAACGCTCTCTGGCCTCCGTGTTTGTACCGGGTGGGGCTAGGCTCGGGCCGGCCCACCCGAACACAGCTGCATTCATGGTGGAGCATTTGAAAGCTATAATAGAGGCAATGTTTCTCGCACCGTGGGTCACAAAGAGGGATTTTCCCAGACACAATGCGGCTTGTCGAAGGTTTGGAATGAGATTGGGATAGAAAATGCCGTATTGTACCAGGTTATAAAAAACAGCCACAGGGCAGCTGGTTTATTTGATTTTATTTATTATTATTTATTATTTGTTTGTGTGTCACACTGGCCTGCCCTTTCCCCTGACAGCAAGCTCCCTCTAGTAGTGGAATGGAGCAGTGATGAATGGGGACACTCCCCCCAGCGACCTAGACCTGCCCTCATGCCCGCTGCCTGACTGGAAGGAGTTCTGCGAGCTCCATGCCCGTGCCACAGCCTCCGACTTCGCCAGAAAGTTCCGGCGCTTTTTGAGCGAGAATCCCTGCTATGACTATCCCGGCGCCCAAGCCACCTTCTCCCACCACTTTGCCCGCCATTTCCTCGACTGCTTTTCGACCGCGCTGAGCCGCAGCCCTGGTTCGCTCGGTGCCCCCAGGTATGGCATGGTGCCCTTCGCCAGTCTCCACAGCTGCCCACCACCCCGTGCCCACAAGCTATGCCAGCAGCGTAAGGATGCAGACACATCCAACGAGTCCCTGGACAGCATGGATGGCGGGCTGGGAAAACCTAACACCAGGGCCAAGCCATTTGTGCCCAAGGCGTGGGCACTGGGCCAGTCACGCAGCTCGGAGGACGTGTCGGCCGGAGACCCCGTCGGGAAGGGCCTCTCCCTGCGCAAAATAAGCCTGTGTGTGGTGGACAGTGTGCGGGACATCTGGCAGCGGCGAGCCTCACCAGAACCCGGCTGCGGCCACAGCGCCAACGAGGATGGCCAGGGGCTGCGCCTTCCTCGGGGACTGCACGGGCAACGGACAGAGCCGCCGGAGGTCCAGAGAGAGGGGGCGCTGCGCTACATGGTGGCTGACGACGCCACTTACGCCTCCCATTGGCAGAAGTGCCGACTGCTGCTGAGGAGGGCGTTTCCACGGTCCGAGGGCGAGCGCTTCATCCTGGAGTTCTATGTGCCGCCCAAGGTAGCATGGGTCCTGGAACTGCACCATGGTGAACTTCAGAGACACTGCTACAATGCAAGCTAATGCTAAACTCAGTTACACACCTGTATAAAGTGTTTTCTGAGCATTTTTTGAAACTCACACACAGTACCTGAAGTTAACAGTTGTCAAAATGCTTAGTATTTTATAGTAAAAAACAGATTTGAGTATCAGAGTGTCATGTGAAAGATATCTGTTAACCTTGTGTGTTTCTTTCTCAGTCCTCCAAGCCCAAAGTCAGCATCCCCTTGTCATCTGTCATGGAGGTCAGGACTACCATGCCCCTAGAGATGCCCGACAAGGACAACACTTTCGTCCTGAAGGTGCGCTCTGCACATTACCCTGTTTTATCACAAACATGACCCCTGATGTGGTTCAATGCAAAATACACATAGACCAGAGGCCAGGAATCCACGTCTGGATCCGACCGGTTGGGACAAGTTGAGACTGGTTATTTAGGCTTGTCATATAGCTGATGGAGTGCCTTGTTTTTCCCATATCACACTGTTGGAGTCCTTATATTGTACAGGTAGGTTTTTAGTATGGACAGAAATAGCCATATTGACGTCAGGAGCATCCAGCAGGAGTGAGAACATGAAACAGTGGAACATCTGTTACTGGTCCAAGACTCAACAGGAACAGCTGCTTAGGAATCTGGAGCTAACTAGCAGTGTGATCTTCCTGTGGTAGGTGGAAAATGGTACTGAGTATATCCTGGAGACCATCGACTCCCTTCAGAAGAACTCCTGGGTGGCGGACCTTCAGGACTGCATGGAGCCGGGGTAAGCAGGGAAACGGGTACCTGTCTGTTTAGCAGGGGGGCTTGGGGAGACCCGTCTTGGTTCCTAATGCCGTATGTGTCAAAGGGACAGTGGTGATGATATTGAGCTGACCTCACACCCCCACGGCCAGCCGCTCAGGGACTCCCCACTGCCCGCCTCCTGCAGCTGTGAGCTTCTGTCAGAAGGTAAGATCTCCCCCAACACGCACACACACCATTGCAGGTGATCCTATAGGACACCTTCCTCGCCATCTGCTGGTGAAGACATTTAAGTGGTAGACTCGATAAGCCAGAGGCTAATTCCGTTTACACATGGGCGTGTTCTGGATGCCAACGGGAATGGCGTGGTTGTGGAAGTGACGGAGCATGTGGTAGCCTGAGATGCTGGGGGGGGGGGGTCACAGACACTGGGGTTATGGATGGGAACCGCAATACAGCTGCATTTAGCATCGCAGCGTTGTCTCATAAAGTAGGGCTGGAATGCTCACACGTACGCAGATCGATTTTGAGTTTTATTTGTCACATACACAACCATACACTCTACATCTGTGTAGTGAGACGCTGTAAATGCAACTTTGTTTCTGCTGGCTTTCAAGTCAAGGACTTTTCAATGTGATAACTATGAGGCTACGGAAATCACAGATTAAGATCATCATTTCTCAATGGTTTTTCTATGCATTGTATCAGGCTGTAGATCCGGTTTTGATTGTTTTGATGGTTCTTCCTGTGTTCAGAGGTACACCGAGCCCCCGAGGGTCCTTGCTCCACGGCAGCTGACCTCTACAGCGCCCCCCGTATCCGCTTCACACAGTATCACCCCCATGTACCCCTGGAGTGCTTTCTGGAGTCACTGGAGTGTCAAACGCCCACCCCCCCTGCAGGTAGAATCTGGAGCTGCAGGCAACATGTCCGAAATGGGAAAAAAGGCGTGTTTTGATGCTTTAACTTTTGATCCCACCCTAGGGGGACACAGCGAGGGGGCAGTGAAGGCAGACACCAGCCTGGCCGGCTACCCATGGTTCCATGGTACTCTGACGCGGATGCGAGCAGCTCAGCTCATCCTGGTGGGCGGGGCACGAAGCCACGGGCTGTTCGTGATCCGCCAGAGCGAGACCCGTCCAGGGGAATACGTCCTGACCTTCAACTTCCAGGGCAAGGCCAAGGTGGGTGGAGTGAGGGATTCTATCAGGGAATTCAAGACTGTTATCAGGAAAATCCACAGAAATAGCCCCAAAACACACCCTCATTAAGGGTATACAGCAAAGAGACTACACAAGACTACTCATAATGTTGGTGAAAAGTTTGCTGTGTCCACATACTGAGATCCAACACACTGTATCCACGTTCCGGAATCCGATACACCATGTCCACAATCTGGGATCTGACACTGTCTGTCTGGTCCTGGATCATTTGATCGACGGGATCCTGCATAATTTGCATTTTGTTTTCAGCCTTTCATACCGTTTTGGTTGTTGCGTAACGCTACAATGCTGAATGCAGCTGTGCTGCGGTTCCCACCCATAACCCCGGTCTCTGTGACCCCCCCCCCCAGCATCTCCGGCTCTCGGTGAACGACAGTGGCCAGTGCCACGTGCACCACCTCTGGTTCCAGACGATCTGTGACATGCTCCGTCACTTCCACACCCACCCCATCCCCTTGGAGTCGGGGGGGACGGCCGACATCACGCTGCGCTGCTACGTCCAAGTCCCACGCCCCCCCCCGGGCAAGTGCGGCCGCCGCTCACACACTTTGAGGGGAAAGCAAACGTCATGTGATGCAGCAGATGAAAAGTCACGTGCAGAGTTACACAGCATGTGTCATGGCAGGATATCACCACACTGATGAATTCTGTCACGGGGAGGGATAGACACAGAAAGGCAATACACCTAGTAGTGTGCTCCCCCCCCCCCACACAGTCCCACATGTCCACTGGATGAATGATCTCCATTGCTGGCAAAGCTGCTGGCTTGCATTGGCACACCGTGTTTTGCATACTGACCAACTCAGACCTTCAGCTCTGGTGCTCTAGCACACAGTGAGCCCTCTGTGCCCCCCCCCCCCCAAACCAGCACTCACAGAGGGGGCGTCCACTCTCCTCCCCGGTATAAACATAAAAACATACGCACCATACATATGGTATGTAAGGTTATGTTTATGTAGTCATGCTCTGCTCTGCTGTGTGTGTGTGTGTCAGTGTGTCTGTGTGTGTTTATGTGTGTGTCTCTGAGTTCAGACAGACATTCTCCAGCATGCAAATCCTGTCACCCCTGACTGCCACTGAGTGTGTGTACATGGGGGGATCAGTTAGCAGGACAAGGGCTCTGTGTTTGCATTCGTGTGAAAAAGGCCTCTCTTGTCTTCTAGAAGAAGCCCCGCCCACAAAACATACTTCCCTCTCTGCTACATCCTTTCCCTCATGCAGTCTCTGGGTCACTGATCCCTGGGGTCCCGTGCACATCCTCATACTACACTGCAAAGTGACACTGACTCCTTATTTATCAGGCTCCCCGCTTTGACTCTCACACCATCGCATTCCCTGTCGCTGGGACAGCGATACATTAAATGCACTTCATGGCTAGTTACGTACATAATAGTCGCATGCAGTACTGTGCAAAAATGGTTAGTAGTCAAAGAAAATCATGTTTAAATGATCTTGTGAAATTATGATTTATGTCTGTAAAATGTGCTAGCTTAGCAATTTCCTCCTCTCCTAAAGCCACCCAGTATTTGTAGCAACCATCCCGTACACCAGTAGTGTATTCGTTGTCTTTACTACAAGCATACTGTGTTTGGCTAATCGATACGGCATTTGGTTAACTGATCAAGCTAATTAATTAAATGAGCTGCCATGGAACGACTGGGGTGCCCCTGAGCAGAGGTGTTCATCTAGCCGTCCAGTAACTTTCTAGAGAAATTATTTTATCGTGTTACTGTTAATTTGCATATATTCTAATGTTAAATTGTGTATTTTTTCCTGAGCAAATATACACTTACTATCCAGATAAATAGCTTGTCTCACAGGCAGAAATATGAGCTTATTTTACACACAGACACTCTAAGCATATTGTTACTTGTTACGTATCATATGGTCAAAGTGGTGGGTCTTGCACCCGGTCCCATTGGCTGCCTTCCCTAACAATCCAGCTACTGACAGTTGAGTGTAAATTAGCCTGCAATGCTGAATCCTGCCAGCAGAGGGGCTGCACGTTCCCCACCCCCTTCACATCCACTAATTCAGACCGTCTGTCTGCAGACATGGGTGTGGCCCAGCACCCTGCTCTGCCCAGGGATTTTGGGTGCCAGAGTGAGTCTCTGCAGCCCACACACCAATCCCCTGGGTACTCGCCTGCCAACAGGCCCGCCTCCCCTGGAGCCCCACCCACCTACACCAGGCATGAGTCGGGCAGAATGTCAGGGCTGCGCAGCCGGAGCAGCAGCTCAGAGAGGCTTCTGGAGCCCTATAGCGCCTCCCCAGAGGAATACCATGAGAATGACGGCGGGCAGAGGACCAGAGCCGTGGAAAACCAGTATTCCTTCTATTAAGCCCCAGGGATGACATATTGAGCTCATACTGACTGATCCACCAGGAAGTACAAAGAGAAAATCCTGTCTTTAGGCAGCAAAAGCTGACGGACCATTTGACGCCGCCCCAGTCTGGTTTATCTGCGGGGCAGCTGCAGGCTGGGGAGTCTCGTAAACAGCAGGGACTCTGAAGCCATTGCATCCATTTCCTGTGTGACGGGGCAGATGTGACGCGATTGCAGATCCTTCGGGGCCAGGGAAGGCGGATGCAGTCTGGAAAATCATATGGAAATAATTCCGATTGCTTCACATTCAGCCTGTGCTGGTTAAATTTGCCTAATTACTGATTTATTAATTACAATGCATTCTCGTAGCAGTGAAACCTGTTTATACTCAGAGGAAGAATCTACTGAATCTGTCAAAGTAGCTCAAAACAGGAAAATGTTAGTAAACGTTATGCTTTAAAAAAGTAAAACAAACTATTACTAACATTTATTACTGTTGTTTACTATTCACACCTAAGAGGACTGTCAGCACAGGCTATGGAGATCATGTGACCTGATGACATCACATCTCATGGCCACTCATGTAGCACATGTTAGATGGCCAGGCTGATATCGATCCCTATCTTCCGGTCCAAATCAAACTGTGGGTGAACTTGAATGGAAACCAGATGGCAGCATAAATGTCAGAATCAACTACACTGTTTTAATATCGGGTTATGTGAGCAATTCAGGAATGCAGGATGTAAATGCTACCATTATCTCAGTCCCCCATTGGATTGAGAGAATGTGCCAATCTGAAATATCTTTTTAAGAATATTTATTTATCAGTTATGCCATGTTTTGCTTGCATCTGTTCAGTCCGTAAAACAAATGCCGTAATCTGGCTCACGCGACGACAGTCACGTTCTGTGGAAGAACGTCTTTTCTTTAGCACTGTTGTCAGCGTATTTTTAAAAAGAATGTTTTTCATACTGAAATGTACCTTTCACAGAGGCTGCACACTTTTCTACAAAGTATCTTATGTACGGCTTTATAATACTGTGAATAAAACCTTATTACTTTTTAAAACCAATTTAATTAAATAATCAACACCTTTGTCTGTTTTTTTCCTTCGGTTGAAGAGGGGCCGTCTTTAGGGCTACAGTCACGGGTACGGTCGTTTAGTTGTATAGGTTTGTTTCGGCTGAAACTCGGTAGACCGAAACGTCAGCGGCACGTTTCACACTGGCGATCATTTCAGCGTTTGAATACAGCGGCATCTAGAGGCGTCTTCGTGAACTTCTGGAGGATTGCACAATTGATGCGTTCAGTTTTATAATCCTAAATAAACGATATTTCCAAAAGTATTGGGACACCTGCCTTTACACACACACACAAACTTTAATGACATCCCATTCTTAATACATAGGATTTAATATGGAGTTGGCCCACCCTTTGCAGCTATACCAGCTTCAGCTCTTCTGGGAAGGCTGTCCACAAGGTTTAGGAGTGTATTTATGCCCATTTTTCCAGGAGAGCATTTGTGAGGTCAGACACTGATGTTGGACGAGAAGGCCTGGCTCACAGTCTCTGCTCTAATTCATCCCAAAGGTGTTTCTATCGGGTTGAAGTCAGGGCTCTGGGCATGGCTGGTCAAGTTCCTCCACAGCAGACTCGCTCATTCATCTCCTTAAGGACTTTGCTTTGTGTGGGACCTTGCAGTCATGTTGGAACAGAATGTTGCAGCATTAAGAGTTCCTTTCACTGGAACTACGGGGCCAAGCTCAACCCCTGAATAACAACCCCACTCCATAATTCCCCCTCCACCAAACTTTACACTTGGCAAAATGTAGTCAGAAAGTACCGTTCTCATGGCAACCACCAGCCCAGACTCGTCCACTTGATTGCCAGACAGAGAAGTGTAATTCGTCACTCCAGAGAACACATCTCCACTGCTCTAGAGTCCAGGGGTAGCACGCTTTACACCACTGCATCCCATGCTTTGCATTGCACTTGGTGATGTAATTCTGGGATGCAGCTGCTTGGCCATGGAAACTCGTTCCATGAAGTTCTCTACACACTGTTCATGAGCTAATCTGAAGGCCACATGAAGCTTGGAGGTCTGTAGTTATTGACTTTGCAGACAGTTGGTGACTTCTGCACACTGTGCGCCTCAACAGTTGTTGGCTGAGTTGCTGTTCCCAATTGCTTCCACTTTGTTATAATACCAGTAACACTTTACTGTGGAATATTTAGTAGCAAGGAAATTTAAAGAATGGACTTATTGCATTGCCTATCACGGTATCACGCTTGAATTCACTGAGCTCCTGAGAGCAACCCATTCTTTCGCAAATGTTTATAGAAGCAGTCTGCATGCCTAGGTGCATGATTTTACATACTTGTGGCTATGGAAGTCATTAGAATCCCTGAACTCAATGATTTGGAGGGGTGTCCCAATACTTTTGGCAATATAATGTACCTCTCAGCAACACTAGGCGTAAAAAAACTCACTAGGGTGCAATGAATAATAACCAAACTAGACACAATGGTAATATTTTATTTCTTTGAAATATTAATCCTTTTAGAGCAGGGGCGTAGTTAGCGATGAGTGGACGGGGGGGTCTGAGTCTACTGGGAGGGCTGATGGACTGTTCATGACTTAAGCCAATAAATACACATTGATTTGGGGGGGCTACAGAACATTTCAGCCCCCCTAAAACAGGCCTAACTACACCCCTGATTTAAGGTTCAAGGTTGCTTTTATTGTCATTTCAACAATATAGGTGGTTACAGTATTACACACTGTTACAAAGGCCATCTTCACAGGAGATAAATGCTTCCTTTCTCTGTAAAATGAAGGCATGTGATTCCTGTGCTTACAGTGCTGCAGTACCCTGACTTTACATGTCAGCTGCAATGGATCAACCAAAGCACTGTCAGTACAGTGAATGCCCTGTGAGGCTGGTAGGGGTGGCAGTCTACTGCTGTGTAGTTTGCATGTTCTTTACATATTTCATGTCTACCTGGCAACCTTCACTGTACCAACCAGAAACACAGAAATTACATTGTGCAAAAAACCGCATTGTGGATGTTGAGTGTTGTTAATAATAATCTGATTCAAAGACATACCTTTAGGCTAACAGGTGTCTCCAAATCGCCAACCTTGACTGAGTCTGTGTGTGTGTGTCCTACTGTAAAACATCCCAGCCAAGATGTCCCACACCTTGTGACCCCTGTGCTGCTTGGGATAGAGAACCCTGCTCTGATTAAGAAATCTGAATATGAATGAATGATAGTAAATCATATCTGGCGCAATCAAGTAAACATAAGGATGTCAGGGGAATTATTTTATCTTAATATAGACTCTCTCTATACATGCCTGTTTACACCCAACCCATAAATTAAACCGAAAAAGAGATTTGTGAAATCTGACAGCTGAGCCTGAAATTTACTGCCTGCATTCAGGGTCTCTGGACAACGGGGAGAGGATTAGTGTCCAGTGTGTATGCTGATGATGATGCCCATCCCCAGGGCCAGCAGCACAGCTACAGACAGTTCCGTCAGCTTGCCCAGCTTCCACTTCCTGAAGCCCTCCTTCTGTTGCCTTTGCAGTTGCTCCCTCCTCCAGCGGATCTCCCTCTCTCTCCGGAGCTGGTCGCCGTAGTGAGCCTCGTAAAAGGCGTCGAAGTCGAAGACGGGCTTCCTGCCGGCACCCGTGACCGAAGAGCGCCGAGCCTTTTCGCGTCGCGTGGCCGTGGTGCCTGGAGCCCTTGCTTCCTCCGCAAAGGGAGTCCCTGAACCCTGCAAGTCGGCCCGGGTCAGAATACCGCGGTCGTATTTCCTCCGCAAAGTGATACTCCCCAAGACGCTGTACGCCTCGCCGATTTCAGTGAAGCGCTCCGCTGCCGCCTCACTGCCGCCGTTCCTGTCGGGGTGATAAATAAAAGACTGCTTATAGTAAGCTGTCTTTATCTGAGCCTGCGTGGCACTCGGGGACACCTGCAGGATGTCATAATAGGCTGTTTTACTTCTATGGAGAGGAAGAGCAGAGCTGCTGCTATCACGGGAAGCCAAACCCACCCTGAGCCAAAGCCGCAGGGAAACATTCGTCTTCAGCCCCTTCGCACTCAGGTTCCGCAATGTGCATATGGATCTCGGTCGCTGCTGGCTTCTTCCAAGCAGGCTGGTCAGACAGTCTCTCCTTTTCCAAACAAGATCCCAAGTCTGATTCAGTGACCAAATTTTATTCAGCAGGTACGGGCAGCCCAAATAACAGGTGTCTGCTTCTCCAGCAGGCGGCGTGTTTCTTCCCAATCCATGACTTTTGAATGTTTCAAATGGTGGTAGTCTTTGATCGAACCGCATTATTTTCCCTTCCAGTCCACCCTGAATCCCTTCTGTTAAAGTGCTGAGCTGGTCCACTGGACCGTCGAATGAAAGTACCACACCAATGCCACTTAACAACGAGGTTGAAAACTCCGCTATATTAGCAAATGAACCACTCCAAATCGAAAATAAACAGCCGGCTCTTGCGGTGTATAACTGCAAACAGTCTTGCGGTGTATAAATGCTGGATTGCGCCGCACTTCCCTGAGTGGCCCCGGCAGTCCGGACAGCTTGACATTTACGACCTCCATACGCCAGCGCGTATTTGTGCGATCCGAATGTTCGAGTCGTGCGACAGGATGCCGCAATAACCGCCCTACTTCCCCGATTTCCTGCAACTCTCGGAAACTGGCATGATCGACCAGGCGCATATTTAATAGTCCAAGCGCTTTTCCCCAACTTCTGACCAAACTCCGCCATTTTCGGCGGAGGAGGAAGAACTAAAAACCAAAACACAACAACTTCCGATGTTCACAAAGAGACCAATCAGAGAAGAGATCTGGTATAGGACGGGATTTAGCCGGTACGTGCTACACTGTGGACAAACGGTGTGCAAATAGATGGTTTATCCGGCCCACAGCAACGAGGAAATACGAGGATCGTTTTATTTAATCGTATGAATAAGTGAGTAGTATTAAAATATCCATCGTCTTCTTTCTCCTTCCCGTCCATATGTATCCTCTCATTTACTTATTTAAATTGCCCCATGGGGTGCAAATAAGCTTGGACACGACGTGGGTACAGTAACCTACTTGCAGGTAAAATGACGTGCAAAAAAACGCGACTGTATGCGGGAGGATGAACCCAGGTCTAGTCCGACGGCCTGAGCAGGGATACTTTTGCTTGCTCTGACCAGACAGAAAGACCAAGATTGACAAAGAGGGCCGTCGTACCGCCCGGGTGGAAGTACCGTCGGGTGCCTTTTCCTCCCTCTGACAAAAAGACGGTGATGGTTAAAAACGGTTTTGAGCGTTCTAAGTAATAGTATCAAATATATCCTGTTTTTCAGGTGTCTCTCTCTTCTTACAGATAAGTATTTGAAGAAAAGTCAGTGCCGAGATCTGGAAGTATCTGCAGTTCGAGTTTTGTTATGTGACCTACGATGCATTACATTGTGATTTAACTTTATTTGGGGGGCACTCTCTTTGCTGGGGGATATCTATCTTTAAGCCTTACCAAAAGCTTTCTGACAGTTAACGGTCTTCAAACAAACAAGGCACTTTTTTAAACATCTAATTAGTATCATTGAGTCTCGTTTTGTTAAGGTTGTCCTTGAACTTTATCTTCTGGTGTCATATCTGTTTGAATTAAAATATTTATGCTACGGTAAAACTCTGAACGTGTTATTTTTACAGATTTGTGATTTTTTTGGTCAGTTTTACTGCGGTGACATGTCTGGAAAGAATTTAAGAACAGCTACAATTTAATGTTCTTTTAATAAGCATTTGTGACTCAACTTTGTTTATACAAAAAAATAAAATAATATAAACAATGTAAACAGTGCAACAGTTAAAACAGTAAATGATGTAAACAGTGCAGTACTATTAACACTGCCAAGAAAATGTCTTAAATGGCCAACATGAACAAGAATTAAGATTTAATTCAACATATGCTGTAACAAAGACACGTGCTTTTTCTAACTTTTTTTTTTGTGTCTGCCACCACCTCCTGCTCTGCCTGGAGCGTAACAAAGGTG